CAACAACAACTGTGAGTCCTCTTCTTCAGACCTAGCTCTCTCTACAGGTTTCTGACTATTGTCACTCCGACAGTTGTTTACGTTAAATGTTGTGCCGTCGTTAAAGCAACCCGATGTTTGAGAAACAACAAATGAAGCAGTGGAATGACAGGAAAAACAACACATACTTTTGTCAAGAGGTATAATTTTGTACTCTGCTATTAACCGTAAATCAAAGTATTTGAACATTTTGTGGCACAAGAAGAAATATTTTTTAAAAGGAATGAATAGCAATTCCATAGAAATATATTTAAAAAAATGCAGCACCAAAAATGTCCAATTCTTATCTAAATTTAGAGAAGGCCCAGTATTTAGTCAGGGCTGCAGGCAGCGTCGTCCACACGTCGGCAACATGCACAAAACTGCACCTAGGTGGCGCTAACGTCAAGAAAATGTGAAAGCTCTTCCTCCAACCAGCTGATCACATAGACCACCTGTCTCACCCTGGAGGCTTTGAACCCTCTTGGGGGTCCAGAGCCTCCAGCTGATTTACTCTTCTCACTTATCAGAACCTCTGGTTCCATAACCATGTTCAAATCTTAACCCAAATCCAACCTTTTCCATCAACCATAGACAACAAAACACTACCTTCACATCTGCTGCTGCTTAAACTGGTTTTAGTTGTTTTTCGTACTGGTTTTGTCTGTTGTTATTCCTGGTAAATCTGTACGAGCATCTTAAGAGTCCTGAAAACTTTACACCAATATATAAAATACAGAACATCCTTTTACCCACCATGTATTTAGTAGGTAGACAACAAAAATTCATAAATAAACAGGTACTTTGCTCGTTGTTTCCCCTCCATCAAGTTCTTAAAGTGCCTGTAGGTCTGTAACTCCTCCGACTTTGGGTTTTGACAGAGCTGAGAATGTACTGTAGCAGTAAGTGAGGCAGTGTCAAGGTGGAAACAGAGGAAACCACTGGAACAGGAAGCCAGTGTTTATACAACAACACAACTTGTTTGTGATTTGTGTAGCTCCCACATTTTTGTTGCCTCCAAATCTTCCTTCCTGATAAGTCAGTGCCAGAGAAGAAGAGCGCTCATGACATTCTTCAGAATGTAACAAGGGCTTTTCCTTTGAAGAATGCTGCCGTGCACCGTTGCCGTGACTGGTGACAGGGCTGGGCAGTGACAGCTCACTCCTCAGCACCAGCTGGTACCTCATAAACTGAGCTCCCAGCTTTGGAAGTGACACAGTGTCACATCACCGACGTGCAGTTTAACTACAGCCTCTGGATTGTAGCAGTAAGTGATTAGTCAGGTCTGCTCTTTACAGTCTGTTTGCATCATTCTACGTTTGAGTGATCAACTTAAACCTCCAGCTGTGGACAGACCCTCTCACATTTCAGAAGCTGTTAAGGCCTAAATATCAAACAGACCTCCTTTAATTTGGACCCTGTATTTTCAGCACCTGCCATTCTGCTGCTGAGGTGACTCAGAGAGGGAGTTAAAGAAAAAGAGAAGAGATAAAATAAACCCGAGTGTTGAAGGGCATTCATGCATAAATAAAAATAATTCCACAGTATAAAGCAGGTGGCATGACAAGTGAATACCAATGAACGTTACCGAGGAACTGCTTTCAATTTGCGAAAGGTTGTAAACTGCAGGAAGAGCTCTCATTAGTAACCAACATGTTCAACCTCAAATACAGATATTGTCTTGACAACGTTCCAAACATTTTATTTGCAGACCACAACAACATGTTGTGTCTATAATTGTTCACCAAGTAGTGAAGTACTAGTACTTATATGCACTGTCTGACATGTGTAGAACTCTGCTGTAGAAAGTACTTAGCTGCGATGCTAAAGAACCTGGCACTCTGCCAGGTTCTTTAGCGTTGCGGCTGAGTGCCAGAGTACCTGTCTGGGCTGTGAAGAACTGGGTCACACCCCAGACAGGTAGTCAGTTTATCACGGGGCCTACATGCAAAGACAACCATTCATACTGTTCACACCTTCACACCCAAGAGCAACGTAGTGGTTCTCAAAGTGTGGAGTGCAGAACTATTCAAAAACAATCTACAAACCACGCCCACAGCAGTCACTGATGAAGATGTAGTTGAGGGTTCTTTTTCTCTGAGAAATGATTAAGTTTTACTGTCATATTTTAGGCCAGTCAAACATGTTTTTAATTTCAGTATTTTTTAGGCTGTAAACGTCTGTTCTTATCAACAGACAGAGGCTTGTGTAGACTGAAACATTTGGCAAAACCTGACATTTACATCTATACATTGTCAACGTTCTATCACCATGATGTCATGATTCTTTATGTTCTTAATTTTTTTTTTTTGTCTTGTGGAGAAAAACATCTTTTAGCCTCATCAGCTAGCTACTAACCTCGTCTGGGTTTTTGTCTGATGTCGAGCAGTTTGCACAGAATCGGTATTTAGTGCTTTTATAAAAACAAAGAGCGTAGATGCCCATTGCTGCCAGAATGGCTGCTGTGAGGGTGATGAGACCGAGCCAGATCCATTAGGTTCTGAGCCTGTAAACAAACCACAGATGCTAAAATACTCGACAGAGCAGGCTCCATGCTGCAGAGCCGGCCAATCGTTTCCTGTGGCTTCGACCGTAAAAGTGAGCCGCTTTACATGCAAGTGGTCGCGCCTGATGGTGATGAATGTGAAATATTTACTTCATACACTAAACCAAGAAAGGCCGGCGACTGCCAAGCCGAGACTGAACCGAGACACAGCATCCAGAATATTGAAGATTAGATCAGTCAACAGAAGCAACAACTCAGTAACAGCACCGCTTCAAAGTTTATGTCCAGCTTTGAACAGCAGACTGTAGCAAAACCAAGACAGAGTCCTCGAACCGGGGCCACGAGCCCTTAAACCTAGTTCTTTCCTTTGTTTGGTTATCAAAGTGCAGTGAAATAAATGGTACAGCATTAAACTGCGATCACTTCTGCAGCTCTGACTCCTCACTGGGACACTAACATGGACTTCACCATCAGCGCCCCGGAGCTGTGCCTCGTACGCTTCTGCGTCAAACATCAGACCGGCCCTCTCACCAGTGAGTTCGTGGGCCAGTACACTCTGCCCTTCACCAGCATGAAGAAAGGTCAGTGACACCAAGGTGGGGGAGGGGTGAGAGTCTAATGAAATCAGACTCTCTGTGGCCATGATTGTATTTTCACTTCATTCACTGTTTCAGCATCTGTGGAGGTCAGACCCTGCTGCGCTTCAGATGTTGATGTGAATCTATATAAAAGCTTATATTTGCAGCAGAATATGCACACACTTCTGTTTACCCACCCTCCCTTCTCCACCTCCAGGCTACCGCTGGGTGCCTCTGCGGTCCCAAGATGGATGCAGCCTAGATCCAGCCTCCCTTTTTGTCTTTGTCTGGTATTCCTAAAAACAGCTCTGCATTGAAGACCCTCTCTCTCTCTCTCTCTCTCTCTCTCTCTCTCTCTCTCTCAATTCATCTGGGTGCGTGTTTCTCGAACGCACACGTACACAGTGATCACAAAGCGTGGCTGATGTAGCCACATCAACAACAAAAATCAATCTGCTGTCAGAAAACTGACGCTGCAGAGGAAAATACCAGGTGAGGACGTTAACAAAGATGGACTCTTTGGAAGCAGTCCTCAAGAGGTGGAGAAATCCCCGGAGAACCAGCAGGGCGTTCCACTTGTATTTCGCCCAGTTCAATCCACCTCATTAATGTCCTGGATCTCAGTGCTCAGAGGCAACACACACTCACAGCCTGACTGTACGAAGCCTTCACACCACTGCTGTTTTCACTGTTTTACCATTCTGTGTCTTCTGTAACAACCGCTGTCACCTACAGCAAACATTGCTGCAGTTTTATAGTGTGTGCGTGTTATGTAATGGAATGTTATGTTTATCAACCACTGCTGCTAATATAGGCTAGAGGAGAATGTGGCTGCAGGTTTTTGTTTTTGTCAGTTATCAGTGGACGCCAATTTATAATAGATATGTTGTATATTTTTATTTATTTTTTTTTAATTCTTAGCTGATTCTTAGTTGTCACAAACTACACTGTGCTATAATAATGTGAGATTACTACAATGTGTGCACAGATGCTGACATTGTTTTAATTCTGGACTCCCTCATTAATCATTCCCACAATTCACACGTGCAATGAAGGGATGCAATTAACATGCAGTTTGAGTTTGTTGTAAACAAAGCCTGTATTAAATGGGAACGTCACCCGAAGCTAAACAGCATATGGACGTCAAGAATTGAAGCGTGAATGAAACACTTTTCAGTGATTACAGGTCAGGTGACTTTTTGTTTTTAACCCAGAACTACATATAGGAAAAGCCTGCTTTAAAGATTGCTTAAAAATGCGGTTTTGTGATGGCTGGATGTCAAAAGCAATTCCTTAGTAATGCTATAAAATTTGAAATTGAAGAACAGAAGTCAGTATTTTCTTTCACACCGACACTATTATTCAAACAGATGTTGTTGTTTCGTTCCCCCACTTTAATAACTGAGATATATGAAAGAGGCAGTAGACAGTCTGTGTAGACCGCCTGTGTAGACTGTCAGAGAGACGACGGTGTTGTGACCCCGCCCCCTGGCCTGTGTGTGTTTGGTGGTGTGTTTGTGGATACATGAACAGAACTGCATTTAAATGTCACTGCTGAATAAGACAAAAGGATGGAGAGAGAGGGTGTGTGTGTGTGTGTGTGTGTGTGTGTGTGTGTGTAAAGTCAACCTCCCAAGCCAGAGTTGTCATCCTAGTCACACGGACACTCCCCACCCCCTTCAGTCCCCCAACACACACACACACACACACACACACTCTTCGTATCCCTTCCAATTCCTGACACCAAGGACATCCAGCTGACATCAACACACTGAAGTTAGGCAAACAGGAGGCAGGCAGCACCTGAACGCACCACGTCACCTGTGTGCATCCAAACACAACATATTAAAATAATTGTTTCAAGTCACAGTGATTTAAAAAAAAACATCTATTTAATGATAAAGTAAGTGCAAATATGGCTAAAGATAAAGTCTTATTTCTGTATATCATCAAATCAAATCATTGTTTACATTAGAATGACACCACATCAAGGATACTTGGACACTAATAGTAGTGTAACGCGGCTTTATGACGTCATCCTGACACGTCATCCACCGCCGGTGTCTTTCCTCTGGTGCGAAGGTAAAGTGCATCAGATCAATACATAAAGAGATAAAACAGTGCATACGGAATTGCTCCTCTCGGATTTCGTCTCTTCCTCTCGCTGTCTGGCTGCGCCCCCTGCTGGTAGCGGCCGCATAGTGCTCCACATTTCAGATTGAAGCGTTGCCAAGAGGGAACCACGTCTCCTTGTCCAGCAGTTTGTCTTCCAGTTTAATGTTGGTCGCAGCCACGAAGGCATTTTTGCTCTTCACCGTAACTTCCAGCACCATCCCGTACAGCAGTGGGACATAAGTGTATTCCAACTATGAACACAAGGCAGGGTTGATGATGGTCTCACACATGCACTGACCTTGTTTTTTTATTTTCTAAAATATAAAATCTAATTCTCATCCTTTTTGTTGATTTTAGATATTTTGTAAAATGTAAATCAAACTCTTAAATAAGGATTTTTTCACTTTGTCTTAGGTTCATGTGAAACAGACATCATTTGAAGCAGGAAGCTGCTGATTTGAGTCCACTGGGTTTTACATTCACAGATCAAAAAGGAAGCACCGTGAGGAGAGCGGAGCCGGTGGCGTGGCTCACATTAAAAGTGAATACTGCACTCAGCCAGAATGAGTTACTGAAATCTCGTGTTTGCGTCATACTTTTAAGAGTAACAGTTAAAGTTAAGTACCAGTTCGTTGAAGGTGGGGTTGTCATTGTTCCGGACCACCTTGGTCTTCTTCTTGGAGTGTTGTAGAGGGTCCGGCCTCAGACGTGTGATCACGTAGGCGTCAGGGTTCGAGCCGTTAGCCTGCTTCTGTTTGAAGGTGAAGGCAGAGAAACAACATATTAATGAGAAACACGGTTTGATTCTCCAGAGGCTGGAAATAAAAAACTGTGTTGCACACTGACTATGTTCTTCAGGTGTTTGACCAAGACTGAGAGCTTGCAGTTAGCATAGGAGATTAACAGCTGGATCTGAGGACACGCCCCTGCAACAGAGGAACGCACCATTGGTACTGAATCATAACATGGTATGAATTATGTATGTACTATCATTACAGTTTCCTCAGTACAGGCTACCGAAGTATTCTGGGAGTATTCCGTTGACCAGATTTAGTTGAGATCATAAACGTGTAATTACTTTTTATGCTTGGTCAACTTTGATTTTTACCATTTTGTTGAAAAGTGAACCATTTGCTGTGAATCTGCTGCTCAGATAAAACTGCACCTCACAGAGATACACTATCTAATGATCAGTTTTTAGTATACATTAATAATAAAATCATGACATCCATTCACTGTTCCAAATATGATTAATGTCAGGGCTGTCATGGTTACAAATTTGAATCTGATTTATCTCAGGACAGCTATGAATAAATCATGATTAATCATTTACTAATTGTTACCGCAATTAATCGTGATTAATCTAAATAGAAAAACCCCAACAATAAGTGGATGGATGATGAAATTACTGGATGTACAGTGCATGTCATTCTGTCACGGTCTAAAATGCTTTCAAAAAGTTTTCAAAAATTTAAGCAATTACAGCATTTGTATTGGAAGTCTTAATTCATGTATCTTACTCTGGGCTTTCCCCTCACATGGAGGGTGACCTAAACTGACTTTGGGTAATGCCTATGTTGACCAAATATTTGCTTTGTACTTTCTTAAAGACTGGAGAATTGGCCCGAGAGACTACGTGTCAATGACAAACGTCATTCACACCCCCGTCCACCCATCCAGGGTAAAAACACTGTGAGCTCCAGACTAACACAGCCCACTGTATGTGCAGGTGATTACCTGTTGGCACACTTTCAGTGACGATGCCAGGTCCGTCCAGGAACAAGCTGCACACAATCTCATTCTATAGTACAACCAGGGTAAGGACAGAAAAGGTTACTCAGAGAAATACTATATGTCCCTGGGGAAAAAAAGTATCACAACAGAATCCTACTCCTTTGCAGGGTCCTTCAAAAAGTTCCTTCAAGTACTTGTTTAGCACAGATATCTTGCTGGCCGTTGAGAATTTCAGGTTGTACCACCTAGGAAACCTTTAGGTAGAAGGTAGAAGAGTTTTTGTGAATGAAATGATGTGTGTAAACAAAAGTGGACGTGAGGTTTGGTAATGGAGGTGAGGTTTTTTTCTTTACTTACTGAGGAAGCTTAGATTCAATAAACTGCTTCTGCAACTCCTTGTGGATCTCCTCAAACTCTCCAAACGTTTTCTCGCTGTTCAGGTAACCATCGTCAATGGTGATTCTCAGGTCATATTTCTGGAGACCATACAGGGCAGTGTTTGGTACATGGAGTTGACGAGCTCTTAATGAATGGTTAAAGGTAGAGATGATGAACTTATAAAGAAAAACAATCTCAGATCAGTGATTACAGTCATTACAGTGACGCTACAAAGGAATGTTTACTTGTGACTGGGTTTAAAATAATGTCTTGACCTGATTACAATTATTAGATTATTATAAGATGATTATAGTGGCTAAATGACCTTGTGCTTTGCTTTGCTGTTTATTTCCTTGTGCCTGAGTCAAGATTTTCCTGTCAGACTGTTCTGTTTGATTTCCTCTAACACAGCTATCTTTCTCCCAGTCACAGCAAAAACAAGCTCACCAAGGCCGTGATAGCACTGAGTTCTTAGTCTACCCTCCCCCGTTATCTCTCACCGCCCTTGATGACCTAACAACCCCCCTCACCCCTGCTGCCACTGCAATGAGGGGTCTGACGTTGACTTCAACTCGTCTTCTGGTGCAGCTCACATGCAGAAACTTTCATTTATCTTCTCAGTCTAAACACATTATGATTCTCAACCGAAAAAATATATATTGGATGTCAGGTGACTTTCTCACACAGTGAATTCCTTATATCTTTACCTTGACTGACTGGAGATGAATTACTTTCAGGTTGTCCCTCTTTATCAGAGCTTTAAGGTGGTATCACACCTGAAGCCATCTGGTGGCAGACAGGAGAACTACAGTACCACTGCACCACTCCTGACCTCAGTTGCCTTATGGCCATAATTCTAATCTTTACTCCAAACTAAGTCCTAAACTCAAAATACCCTGTGAGTCAGTGAGGACTTAGAAAACATCGCCACAATGACAGTATATTTCAAATCATGTCCCTAAAGGTATTGTAAGACAAACCCAAGAGTACAACTCTAAATATTTAACCTCCAAAAGATTCTCACTTTGTAGATTACTGAGTTCTGTCTCCTCTCACACACACAAAGTCTGGTTTTCTTGACATGTCAGAACTTCACGTAGACAAAAGCATCCCCGAACCCTAACCCTGATCTCAATCCTCAATCTTCCTGACTAAATGTTATACCTCAACATTACTCTTTGTCTTGGTGAGTATCTGGAAAATGTCCCCACAACAAATGATTTACCAAAAAACAAAAAAAAAACCTAGCTGCATGTACACACACACACAGACTCTGTATTAAATGTTAAGCTCTCAGAGCCCAGGCTGCCTCTGTACGGTGTGTCAGTGGAGCTGCTGTGCTGCCTCACCACATCGTTCCCTTTGATGTTGAATCCCTGGATGACAGCTTCTTGAATATTGGTGCTGGCAGTGGGCACGCCGTCTCTTTTCATGGTTTCCCCTTTCTTTCCTTGGGCCATGCTGTGTGTCAGGAACATGAACTTGACTGCAACACAGTCGATGCTCTGTTTGATTTTCCTGCATCAGGACAGGTTTAAAAAAAGGCTTCATTAATCGTAAAATTGAAACTTGTGTTTTTCTTTTGGAAGTACTCTATAAGTACGTAGTAAGTAATAAAGGGCTAAATTACTTTGTAAAGTAGGACGTTGCTTCCAGGTCCGTGTCGTGGGGTCGGAGGTTGTTCTGGACGTACTGCAGGTCGTTGGAGTTGTTCATCTCGGGCATGCCCGCCTGTAGCATCTGTAAATCTCATCCACAGCAGTCGGATTAGTTGATTATATATGGGGCTGTTGTACTGTGCTGTTCAGAGGTGAGTCCCTCACCAGCTCTAAGAGGCTGAGTATGAGCGCAGAGCGTTTTCTGGTGACGTTGTAAGCCTCACAGCACAGCTCCACAAATCGGTGCAAACGCTGCGGTTTCTCTCCTCCTCCTGTGATGAAATGCTGCATCTCTGACGTAAAGATGAACGGAGAGCGGTCTCTGTCGATCAAACAGAGTAGGAGACAATTTTAATAATTACACAAGTGCTCGTTACATGATTGAGTGTCTCAAACACCACCCTCTCTTCACGGCTCACCTTTTGATTTTCCCAAACTTCTGTGCGTTGCCCATTATTTTGCCAAAGTCAATGTGAAACATGTGTCCAGTGTGCTTTAACATGATGTTGTCGTTGTGGCGATCACAGATGCCCAGGATGAACGTGGCCACGCACCACCCTGCACATGAATGGATGAAGTTCATCACAGCCTGTGGAGAAATGGAAAACAAACAGAAACGGAATGACGTCACCCCATGATCAACAGCACGGCCACGGCAGACGTCACCACAGAATCCAAACCTTTTCATAGTCCTCTTTGGTTTTGTTCCACATGTGGAACCATTTCTCCAGACTGTCCTCACGTAGGGTCCCACCCAGCCCCCACTCCTGGTGAATCTTCCCCAAAGTTACTGCTTCTGGAACCACTTCAACCAAACCTGAAAACCACAGCATAAGTCAACATGTGAGTGTGAAGCACAAGACATTTAATCAACAGACAGAAATCAGACTAACCCTGAGCTCTTCCAGTAGAGAGACACCTGTAGGTGATCATCTGCATGTCCAGCCCCTCCTCCAGCCACAGGTTGTTCATCACACGGACGATCTGAAGCACCAGCATGTCCTGACACAGGTTATCACCTGTCTGAACAACACATTCAGCTCAATAACACAAACAACAGCTTTACTAGATGTACTGAAACACACGCTTTAGCAGCATAAAGCTCACATTATCAGTAACAGACATTTGTTTCTGGGTTCTCCAGATTTTCCCATCCCTCATGTTTTCTAGATTTTCAGTTTGTTGTATACAACATCTGTGTTTTTTTGGGATTTCTTTTCTCACAGTCTTGAAAAATTCGACTTGGAGCGTTCTGATCTTTATGTAACCAAAGACTCCACAGCACTAACCTTACAGATGACACTGACGTTCTTGGCCAGAGGGTCACTGCAGACGAATGTGACCCTCAGAGGAGCAGCGTTTGAGGTGTAGAACTTACAGGCCTGTAAGAGTTTTATATACAGACATAGTCAACAGTCTTTATCAACAATAATGTGAGATGTGAAGTGAATAGGATAATATTTTATCTGTTTTCTGTTTGTTTGTATTAAAAAAGTGTTATATTCATATTCATTTATGTGTGTATATATGTTTTTCATATATATCTTAATTTTTATTTTATAAAATCAAATATTTATAATATATTGTAATATATATAGTGTTATATTTATTCATTCATGTATGTATATATGGTTTTCATATATCTTAATTTTTATAATTTTATAATATAACTAATTTCTAATTGCACAGTACCATATGTAATTAAGCAACAGCAAGAAGGTCACTGGTTGGGTCTGTCTATGTTCTGCCTGTTTATTTGTCCCGTGCACATTTGGTTTTCAGTCTAAATTGAACATAGATGCTAATGTGGGCGTGAATGTTTTTTGTCACTATATGTGGTCCTGTCATTGATTGGTGAACTGTACTCTGTACTGTACTTGTCCTCTGTCATTACTGAAATGTTCTTACATCCAGATCCACTGCCTTCACATGAACTGCAGGATCCAGTGGCAGACGACAGCTGGTCCCAGGAGTGAAGAACCTGGCGATCGTTTCCTTTTCCTTGGATAAAACATTCTGCAGTAAATAATGAAATGAGAATAAACCCCAAGAGTCAAACATGGTGATGGTCAAACAACTGATGGTACGGACTGATGGTCAAGTTGAGTTCACATGAACCAGTCCATTCACAGACCTTACGCCGACCCTTTTCTGCAGTGCGAACTTTGTCGGCCACTCTCATGAGGACAGAAACCAGACGAGTTTCGTGCTCCAGCTCCTGCTTCAGTTTACGGCCACAGCAGTAACGTAGAGCCGCCTGAATCTTACTGTACCAACTGTGGTACAAGAGGTCGTTACAGGCGTCCTCCAGCAGCCTGTCAACAAAGAAAAGCCACTACGTCAACTGAACTGAAATGGACGTTAGCATGAAAACAAACACAGTGATTGAGTATTCTGTCTGAATGTCTACTTTTGCTCCGCCTCACCAAAAAAGTTGTTGTGCAATTCGTATGTTCTTTACTGATCTGTCCAGGAGCAGCATCACCAGAGGTCCATCCAACTCCCACTCACTTTTTAGAGCCTGCACACATTAGAATATCACAAGAATGAAAAAAATAACAGGTGTACGAGTTTGATGTTGAGGACGGTTGAAAGACGTTGCCATATTGCAGCGTGTTTACTGTACCTGGACCAGCTGTGGCAGGAACAACTCAAGCTCTCCATCTGCAATCTGCTCAAAGTAGTGAACTGCAGTTCTCCGTACTGTCTGATCATGAAAACTGAAGAAGGTAACAACACAGACTTTACTTTTGTCGACTTTACAGTCACAGAGAGAGTGGGGATCTGACCTCACCCACAGAACAGCGCCCCCATATGACACCGCCTTTCAGTTTAATGCACATTTATTCAAATCCGACCTAAAGAAGTACCAGTGGTACTACACACAACAGAAATACTAGTATTTTATCAGTAGAGGTAAGTGAACATACTTCTCCAGGAACGGCGCCTCCTCGGGGAGATAAATGGGCCAGTTCTCCAAAACAGTATAGATCTCTGTCAAGTACTCAGGCTGCCACTGCTGGACTCCACCCAGCAACAGGTGAAGAAAAGTACTTCCTTTGTCACTGCAGTGACGCTTCTCCCAGAGGAAAGTCTTTTCATTCTCCGTCAGGCTGAGAAAAGAGTAATGAGGGTTATGTACTGAGATAAATGAGCAGGAAATACACGTGGGATATGCTGGATATATTTGTACAATTATTTGTCTAATTCTTTGCACTCACAAGCAGAGGCAGTGCTTCTTAGAAACACTCAGCATCTTTTTCTTCAGCGCCTCACATGGCTGAGTGAATATGATCGATCCAGGAAGAGCTATTGGCCTCTGATACATCCACTGGACCTCACTTTGGAACTCCAGCTGGACAGGTGGGGTCAAAAATGAATTCATTTAGTAATGTGCTGTCATTCTTATTTTTGTCAACAGAGGGCAGAGTGGTCTAGTATTACTAACCTGCAGTATGACACCCACAGGTTGTGTGTGATGTTCATAGATGGCTGGAGAGGGACGAGCTGGGACCTGAGTCTGTGTAGACAAACTGAGCAGGACTGTCCCTGAAACCAATGTCCTGAGGACAGAGGACGAATACATCTGTCAGTGACTACAGCTCAGGATATCATAATGACACATACACCTCTGAAATTTATAATCTACAACTTATACTTTATCCATTCATAACAGCAGAACAGTATTAACAGTGACACGATGAAAAGAAAAAGTTCTGTTTTTTTTTATATCAATGGTCTTTAAATGTCTGTTGAAAATAAAACCAAGTTGACCTTTGGAAAAATAATTGTTATTTTGAATGATTCATCTTTAAACAACCTCTGGGCAAACAACCATGTGGTCTGAAATAGAACTGTTAACTAGTATCTCTAACATTAAATCCACTTGGAAATCAAGTGTGAACACAGTCACAGGCCTAACACTACATGAGAACATTTAGCCTGTTTTTCAGTTCATGTGATATTTTTATATAATAAGCTGATGACGTGTTTTATCATGCGAGTTGTGGTTTGTTGTTGTTGCTGGAGTTTTAGTCCAGTATTACTGCAGTTTATTTTGTCCTGTTTCTGTATCTCTGTGAAATGAATGACTGGATTATTATCTGTATGACATCATTCTGGTTTTGGATAAGGCTACAGTCAGTTTTAGTTACAGGGTAATTGATCCCACTGCCAGGTGCTATCATAAAGAGCTAATCACGGTAATTTACCTGTACCCTTATCAATCAATACCATACGTCATGTTTTGATTGTTTCTGTTTTGATTATGAAACATAGGTGTGAACATTTCAACCAATGAAAGATTTCTCCTGGTGAG